GACGTCAAGACAATTATTACGCTGGAAATTTATTGAAGAAATAATCTCGGCCGACTTCGAAGACGTCGGCCGCCCAAAGTATTGTTCATGATACTTGGTGCGGCCGACGTCTTCGAAGTCGGCCGAGATTATTTCTTCCATAAATTTCAAGCAGATTAAAATCTCGATCGACTTCGAAGACGTCTTGAAATACAATCTAGTGAGCAAAATAGTTTATAGCTGAAGTCAGGTGCTGCAATGTATATGTCTAATATAATGTTTCTCACAACATTTATTGTAGAGCGAGATAACCTTATGCAGGTGTATTACACAGTGGGCGCAAGGCGGCTTTGCATAAAACAATTGGTCACTCAAACCAATAACAAAAGTCGTTATCGTTTGAAACCGCATTCGCAGCAAGAACGTTGCGATATTTTATCAATTTATTTCATAATAAAAAGAATGCTTATTTAGGTAAGATATCAAACATTTATCAGCTAGGGGGGAATATGCAATAATTTATTTTTATAAAATTAAATCTATTAAGGCCAAAAATTCGGCATTAACCCAACCTAACGTAACAAAAACCAACTCAACCCAACCCTTACATCTCTTCAACTAAACTACCCTTGATAATAATGAGACTATTGACTAAAATATTTTTTGGAACTCCCAAGACATGGAGAAAAGAAGAGTTTCGATTCCTCTTGGGTTGGGTAGAATTCTGGATTAATTAATTAATTTATTGTTTTTAATTTACTAATAATTGTTTTCTTTTTTTATAGGCTCAAATGCCAGATCCCAAAACATACAAACAACACTTTGAGAATAAACATCCTAAGAATGAAGTGCCTGCGGAGCTGAAGGTCGTCTAAAAAAACGCGATCGCGAGGTAAAAAAACACTTAAAAAATAATAAAAAAAAAAGAATAAAGTAAACGGGCGCTCTCCCCCGAACTAACAATAACAATTAATTAAAATACTTTCAATTTAAGTTTACGTTCGTTCGACTACCGGTTTTTAATAAAACGTTTGTACTCCTTTTTTATACAGAAAAATACAAAGAATAACTAATTGCTAAGGGTTGAAACTGCCCAAAGCTCCCCAGCCCCCCGTCAAAAATGGGAACCATATCATTCGCGTCGCGTCATGTTCGCTTTTCTGATCGGTTGGACTTTTGTAACTTGTAAATTCTATTTTTAGTTCACTGTTGATTAAAAAGAAAATAAAAATCAATAAAACGTGTTAAATTCAGTGTTTGTTTTAATATTTCCTTTACATTTATTAAAAGAAAAATCAACATATTAAAAACGTATAAAAATGTTGAAATAATTTCAAAATTCTAAAAATTTCGGACAATCTTTCATTTGAATACGATGTTTTGGGAACACAACAAACAACTGGCGAAAAATTGGTCTTTGTTCAGGTTTCCAACACCAACACTAAAAAATGATTTATATTAATAAAATTTAAACTAAATTTTTTTTATAAATTACCTGCCGCATGATTTTGCGTACAGAACGTGGACAATTTTTTGTAGGAATAGTAAGTCGATTATTTGCTTTTAAAAATTTGAAAATGTTGGATAAAGACATGTAAGAATATGGCAAATCACCGTGGTTATATATTTCCCATAAAACAACCCCAAAACTCCACATATCAGCTTGGATGCTATGCTTTTTGGCGATTAAAACTTCTGGAGCAACATGGGTGTGTGCAAAATCTTGGAATCGGCCTAAATATTCGTTACAAATTCCGAAATTGGCTAATTTTGCTATTCCTGTTTTGGTAATCCAAACATTTTTGGCTGCCAAAAATTGATGACAAAGTTGTTGCTCTTCTAAATACACCATTCCCATACAAATGTCATTACAAAAATTGAATGCATATTTTCTAACGTAAGGATATTTTTTCGGCTTTCTTAAAAGATATAACAAAGGTTCATGTTCCATATAAACAGTAATCATGTTATAAGTTTTAATTGAACCAGAGTCGGTTAAAGCCAAGCCGATTATATTAACAAGATTTTTATGACAAAGTTTTTTCTTGATGATTTCATGCATTTCGACAGGGTCATCAATTGGTGAAATTAAAACTTTTCTATTTTGAATACAACCAATAAATGTTTTCCCAAAAACTCCTTTTTTAATATAATTCACGTTAATATCCCCTATTATTTGCGCTTTCATTTCCCTGGTAACATATTCCATGAGGTAATAGCATAATTCTTTTTTTCGGTGTATGCATGTCTCGATTATTTCTTCCAACGAATCGTAATAATCTTCAAGATTTATCGTCAACCTTCCATAATTATCGCGAATTATGCGATAATCGAAAAGTCTTTTAGAATATGTTAAACATAAACTAAAATCTCCGGCGTATCTTAATGAATCTCTTACAAGGAATAAACCATCTTTATTCGATTTAAGCAGTTTATAGGTGGTTTCATCAGAAATTTTTCCGTGGTACCATCTAAACAATTATTAAATAATAAATCAAAAAAATTTGTTGTAATAGGCTTACTTAAAAGAAATTTCTCAATAATTTTGTGATTCAATCCAAAAAAGAGTGTTTCCCAAAATGTATTCCGCAAGAAGTGATGATTGAAATTCGATAATTTCAAAAATTTATTTCTTAAGTGGTAAAAGTAATTTTTTATCATGATTATTTTCAGTTATTGATGAAATTTCTTATAAATTTTTTACGAAACTAATTTTTAAATTTTTCGACAAAAATTGATTAATTAAAAAAATTTTTTTCTCAAAAAATAAACGTTTTTAATTTCTTATAACGAATTTTATTATTGAAAAGTACACCGCTTTATTGATATTTAGTGAAATTTTCACACAAATTTACACCGAAATAAATTTAAAACAAATTATTTAAGAAAAATCGTATTTTTTCTCAAAAAGTAAAAGTGTTTGTTTAAAATGGATTTTATTATTGTAAACTACACCATTTTATTGATATTTAGTGAGATTTGAACATAAATTTACACAGAAATAGATATTAAAGAAATTATTTAATAAAAAACTTTTACAAATTAAAAAAAAAATTTTTCTCAAAAACTAAGTGATCTTTTAAAAACGATTTTATTATTGAAAACTACACCATTTTATTGATATTTAGTGAAATTTTCACACAAATTTACCCAGAAATAGATTTGAACCAAATTTTTCGTTAAAAAATGTTTACAAATTAAAAAAAAAACTTTTTTCTCAAAAACTAGAAGTGATTTTATAAAACGGATTTTATTATTGTACACCGTTTTATTAATATTTACTGAAATGTTAACACAAATTTACCCAGAAATAGATATTAAATAAATTATTTAATAAAAAACGTTTACAAATTAAAAAAAATTTTTTCTCAAAAACTAAGTAATCTTTTAAAACGAATTTTATTATTAAAAACTACACCATTTTATTGATATTTAGTGAAATTTTCACAAAAATTTACCCAGAAATAGATTTGAACCAAATTTTTCGTTAAAAAATGTTTACAAATTAAAAAAAAAACTTTTTTCTCAAAAACTAGAAGTGATTTTATAAAACGGATTTTATTATTGTACACCGTTTTATTAATATTTACTGAAATGTTAACACAAATTTACCCAGAAATAGATATTAAACAAATTATTTAATAAAAAACGTTTATAAATTAAAAAAAATTTTTTTCTCAAAAACTAAGTAATCTTTTAAAACGAATTTTATTATTAAAAACTACACCATTTTATTGATATTTAGTGAAATTTTCACACAAATTTACCCAGAAATAGATTTGAACCAAATTTTTCGTTAAAAAATGTTTACAAATTAAAAAAAAACTTTTTTCTCAAAAACTAGAAGTGATTTTATAAAACGGATTTTATTATTGTACACCGTTTTATTAATATTTACTGAAATGTTAACACAAATTTACCCAGAAATAGATATTAAACAAATTATTTAATAAAAAACGTTTACAAATTAAAAAAAATTTTTTCTCAAAAACTAAGTAATCTTTTAAAACGAATTTTATTATTGAAAACTACACCATTTTATTGATATTTATTGAAATTTTCGCACAAATTGACCCCAAAGTAGATTTAAACAAATTATTTAAAAAAAATCGTATTTTTTCTCAAAAAGTAAACGTGATTTTATTGAAATTTACACCATTTTATGGTTATTTAGTGAAATTTTTACCCCGAAATAGATTTTAAATAATTTTTTAATAAAAAAGTTTAGGAATTAAAGAAATTTTAAAAATTATTTACGGTATTAAATCGGTGCAACCTTCTTTGTTGTTACCATCGTTGGGATTTTTTTGGATATTTTCAACAATTTCAACTGATTTTACAGCGCCGGTATCTTGAGCTAATTCTGCCATTGTAATCGTTTGAAGTAATCGCTTTTTTAAACTGATGTACGACAAGTGACAATTCCACTTTTATAGTGTGGTGTGCCAACTCATTGGACGAATTTGATAATTTTGTTTTATCTAATATTCATTCTAAGGAATTCGAAAATTTTACAATAATTTTTATAAAGGAAGCTAACGTTTGATAAGCAGAATATTTATATTTGGTGAAACGTACATTATTATTTTTAATTCACAATTTTTAAAAGTATTAAAATATATTTATTTTATTGTTACATCTTCCGTTTTAATATTTTAATATCGTCTTCTTTACTTAACAGCTACACCTTAAGCATCCAGTTATTTTAGATCTTTCAAAATACATATATTCCTACAAAAAATAAATTAATATCTTTATATTTGTGATTTTTAAGTAATTTACCAATAAAAATGCAGCTCCCAATAAAATGGCTTTTAATCTATCATCAATACTACTTGATGGAAACTGTACACACATGATATAATCAGTTTGTACTTGATCCCATTGATAATTAACACTTCCTAATTGCGTGGTACCCTCGGGATTAAATATCTTAAAATGTTTATCCTTTCCATTAGAAATGCACATACAACTATCAGATGGACCTTCAATTTTATAAGCAACATTTCCGTGTCGATTATAAGCGAGAAAAATTGGTTGTGATAACGTCATTTGTTGTTTAACATAACCAACAAGTTCACCGGGAGGAAGCCAAATTTCCAATACTTGAAGATAACACCAAAACGAACAGTTTCCGAATGCTAAACGTCGCCGAAATTCAATCGCTTCTTGTTGAGTTTGGTCAAAAAGACGCATCGTAAATGCTCTACTTGATCCACAACAAAATCTTTGGAAATTCGTCGATGATTCGCTTGCATAATAAAGTGTTTCACCTCTTGGTACTTTTATTGTATATCTATTTTCTGAATCAACATTTGCAAGTACTAAAAAGAAATTTCTGTGAATCATTTATTAATTCCTATAAATAAATTTTAAAATGAGATAAATTTATCTTAGATTATCTTACGTTCGTTTAATTCTACAGTCTGTTGGATAAATAATTTATCGACGCCATTTAAAAAATCTAATCCGTTCCTGGGAATAAATTGACCATCTCTTGATGATTGCCAATCGATTGTTGCGACGGGAATTGGTCTTCTACTTCCTGGATAGTTACTTTCCAAGCTTGGTTGATCCACTATTGGAATTGGATCCGGTGTATCCAAAAATGTTGTAGCTAGAAAAAGAAATGAAAAAATTAAATAGAAAAGAAAACGATTATAAACTTACTTTCTCTAATGCTTGAATCACTCAACGGTGAATTAAAAACAGATAAATCTATATCTACAATAAATTTATTATTTATTAACTTAGATCAAAATTGAATTACTTATTAAGTCATTAATAATTATTCAATAATAAATTATTTTTTTTTACCTGTAACATGGTCATCAAAAGGATCGTTAGACCCTTGCCTGTTGGTGGAAAACATGATTCCCCGCTGAAATTATGTTTGTGTTGGGTTACAGTATTGCACAAGGAATGTTACTGCTACGATCGGTCGATAACAAAACGTTATCTTATCTTTTATTTATTGATTCACGTCTTAATTGTTTTCGCACTGTCAAGAGGACGGCGATTATCTACGTACATCCAATCATCGCATATACTAAAATTATAACAATGGATTTTATTGTTCCTTATTAATGTACATATTCATTCTGTTTTTAATATTTCTTTAAATATAAAATATTTTAAAAAAATTTGTAATGTGTTTTTAATTAATTTTTATCAGTTTGTATTTTTAAATTTATCACTTTTAGGGTTAAAAAAATTTTTGATTAAAAATTGATTATTTTATATTTATTTCATGTTTAATTTAAAAAATCCCCGATACTGAAAATAATCCTCTTCTGCAAGACGTTGCAAAATTTAGACCAGTTTTGGGTTGGTATATTAATTGATAAGTTTAGCCGAAGAAGCTTACGTTGCAATGTTTTGGCTAACTTTGGGTTGATAAAATATTAACTGTAGTGCCTCAGCCACGAGCGACCTCGAATTAATCAGTTAAAGTTGTAAGTTCTCCTCACTAAGTTCAATCGGGATGCTCGCGATTTCAATGTTTTCTCAATTTCTTAGGTTGATACGATTTTCATTGTAAAGCCTCGGGCGAAAGGTCGTAGATTTTTCTCCTACGATTAAGCGAAGTAGCTTGAGATCGAGATGTTGCAAAATTTAGACCAGTTTTGGGTTGGTATTAATTGATAAGGCAGTATCAGAGATTCCCCGCACTAAGTTTTGCAGAGGAAGCTTACGGCCAAGATGTTGTAATGTTTTGGCAAGCTTTGGGTTGATAATATATTAATTGGAGTGCCTCAGCCGCTTAATCAGTTAAAGTTGTAAATTCTCCTCACTAAGTTCAGTCGGGATGCTCGCGATTTCAATGTTTTCTCAATTTCTTGGGTTGATACGATTTTCATTGTAAAGCCTCGGGCGTAAGGCCGGAAATTTTTTCTCCTACGAGTAAACGAAGTAGCTTGAGATCGAGATGTTGCAAAATTTAGACGAGTTTTGGGTTGGTATTAATTGATAAGGGAGTATCAGAGATTCCCCGCACTAAGTTTAGCAGAGGTCGCTTACGGCCAAGACATTGCAATGTTTTCACTAACTTTGGGTTGATAAAATATTAATTGTAGTGCCTCAGCCGCTTAATCAGTTAAAGTTGTAAATTCTCCTCACTAAGTTCAGTCGGGATGCTCGCGATTTCAATGTTTTCTCAATTTCTTGGGTTGATACGATTTTCATTGTAAAGCCTCGGGTGTAAGGTCGTAGATTCTCCTCCTACGATTAAGCGAAGTAGCTTGAGATCGAGATGTTGCAAAATTTAGACCAGTTTTGGGTTGGTATTAATTGATAAGGCAGTATCAGAGATTCCCCGCGCTAAGTTTAGTCGAGGAAGCTTACGGCAAAGATGTTGTAATGTTTTGGCTATCTTTGGGTTGATAAAATATTAATTGTAGTGTCTTAGCCGCTTAATCAGTTAAAGTTGTAAATTCTCCTCACTAAGTTCAGTCGGGATGCTCCCGATTTCAATGTTTTCTCAATTTCTTGGGTTGATACGATTTTCATTGTAAAGCCTCGGGCGTAAGATCGTAGATTTTTCTCCTACGATTAAGCGAAGTAGCTTGAGATCGAGATGTTGCAAAATTTAGACGAGTTTTGGGTTGGTATTAATTGATGAGGCAGTATCAGAGATTCCCCGCACTAAGTTTAGCCGAGGAAGCTTACGGCCAAGACGTTGCAATGTTTTGGCTATCTTTGGGTTGATAAAATATTAATTGTAGTGCCTCAGCCGCTTAATCAGTTAAAGTTGTAAATTCTCCTCACTAAGTTCAGTCGGGATGCTCGCGATTTCAATGTTTTCTCAATTTCTTGGGTTGATACGATTTTCATTGTAAAGCCTCGGGTGTAAGGTCGTAGATTCTCCTCCTACGATTAAGCGAAGTAGCTTGAGATCGAGATGTTGCAAAATTTAGACCAGTTTTGGGTTGGTATTAATTGATAAGGCAGTATCAGAGATTCCCCGCACTAAGTTCAGTCGAGGAAGCTTACGGCAAAGATGTTGTAATGTTTTGTCCATTTCTGGGTTGATATGCCTGATAAGCAAGGCTTTAAACCTCAAGTTATAGAGTCTACGCAAGTTCGATTAACGACATTCTCATCTTGTGTCAAGCTTTTTGAAATATTTGACGCCATCTATTGATTATTTATGCAATTATATATAAAATCGTAATAAAAGTAACTAATTACAATGTAGCCGGTAAAATACATTACTTTATTATCAATTAACAAAAAGTCTACATTACAATTGATCTAATCCCAAGCTCAACGAATAACATATAATTTTTATTACTACATGCATAGTAATAAAGTATTTTGTATACTGTATACTGAATAATATGGCGATGTAGTGTTATGACTGTATAAAGAGTGGTTGGTGAAGCGCCATCTTTGTTTGAATAGGAGAAAGAGAAACGTGAAAATCGCATGCGTGTAATCGAGCACGTGCGCACAATGGAATTTGTTTAAAAAAATGCGCGGAAGAGATAATATTGTAAAAATAACAATTTTGGAGTAAAACAAAGGGAAGGAAAGGGTTGTTATAGAGAAATAAGTGGTTTGAACGGTTGAAGATTGAGGCCTCACGGCGGGGCGATGCCAGTAGATGGCGTGGGGTTCGTGGGGTGTTCGCGTGCTTTATTTTAACGAAACGTTGGAATGTAGGACGCGGAGTGAACATTAAAGCAGCGAGAAACGAAGAAGAAAAGTCTAGAGAAAAAAAAATGACATTTTGACGAATAGGTAAGTCGACGAAATTCATAGTTTTGCGTGCGTGGTACGAAATGCGCAAGTCCAGACGATATGGCCCCGGAGTCGAAATTGATGTCCGACATTACCAACAATGACTATTACGATCGATATTTAGTAATGTGACGTAAATTTGTTTCTGCACGGTTCGGTGTTAGGCCGGATATTTAGTGGCTAAGCGTTATGGAACGTACGAAAATGGAAACTACGGGGATTATTCCTCGCAATTAAGTGCTGTAGCTTCGGCGCCATACATGTTTTCGTGTTAAATGTGCGACATACACGCAGGTGCGTACGCAGCCGTACTAATAATTTTAACTGGGCCTGCTCAGCTCTCTTGGCGGACGCGCGATTCGTCTCGATTCTGTTATTTTTTTTTTAAATCGTTCTACGACACATGTGTTTCGTGCCCAAAGATTTCACCGTGAAGAATATGTTCCCTCAAAGACGGTCACAAACGCCTTACCGATTATTTGTTATCTAAAAGTATTGGAAGCCATATTACGGGTTCCTCTACACCAAACTCCAATGCATCATCACGTTCCGACCAACAAAAACGCCATTCGAAAAGATCTTCGAGGTCCATTTAAATACGTGAGAGTTATTCAAAAGTCATGCCCCCGCGATTATTTGTATTTTATTTCCCGTCGTCTCGCGGGGGACAAGGGGAGACCCCAACATCAGTTATTGATTTTATAGTGTAGGCTAGAAAAGCAATGTTCAACATCTCTGCCTTTGCAATCATTTATTTGCAAAATGTATATTATAATATGTAAGATGACGACCGTTACATATCTGACTTACTACAGTGTCTTTTTTTTATCTTATATTTAGGGGCCGGTGAGACGACTCCACACTCGCTAGCGGTGCATGGTTATGATGAACACTTCCAACGGTAGTCAATCAAACGAACAGATAGCCATGGTTGTGAGTTCACCAGCAGGCCTTTCTGGCCCATCAGATGATGATGAAGACAATTGCCCATCTTCGCCAAGCTCCTATGATGAAGGAGCCGATCTTTTAACAGCCGCTATGGGTATGATCAATATTCATTGTATTTATATATATCATCATAGTATTCACATCCATTTATTTTTATTTATGCTTCTTAATACTTTTTATTTTAGGTCTTTTTTTATATTAATCCCTCAAGATACATCTCCCTTAAGAATCATGCATGATATCGTTTCGTGACAGTCATTTGGATTATATTGTAATAAAATAGTTGTATAGTTATTTGTTTTTATTTGAAAAATACACAAGTAGTTAGAAAAAAATGGTGGATGGGGTAATTAATCATCTGAGATATTCTACATGACTAAATCGATTGGTCATTACAAAAATATTTTTATCACGTTGCATATACTTTGAAATTCGTTTTGTCATTGATAACCAAATCGCGTAGTTTAATACAAACACTAAAATGTTTTAAAAAAACTTATCAAAAATCTTGGAAAAATAATAAACTTGGACCAAGTATTTATTATTACAAATTAAATTCATGCAATTTACGAAATAAGTTATTATTAACGTTTTGAGTTGTTGAAATTAATTAATTTCAACTCATTTCTTAAGTTATTTCGCATTGGATTAGGTGATTTAGTAATTAATATAATGAAAACATTCCCAAATAACACACACCTATATTTTTGTAATGGTAGTTAAAGAGAATGTTGTGTGACAACCTAATACATAACATATTGCCTATCTTGCTTAAAACGGACAATAGAAGTATCCCAGCCCCAATATTTCAGCTTAACAGAAACAATCTCGGCCGACTTCGAAGACGTCAGCCGTTCCAAGTATCATAAACAATATTTAGTGCGGCCGACGTCTTCGAAGTCGACCGTGATTATTTCTTATATCATGAACAATACTTAGGGTAGCCGACGTTTTCGAAGTTCTTTCGAACCTCGGCCGACTTCAAAAACGTCGGCCGCTCCAAGTATCACCAACAATATTTAGTGCGGCCGACGTCTTCGAAGTCGGCCGAGATGATTTTTTATATCATGAACCTAAGTATTGTTCATGCGGCCGACATCTTCGAAGTCGGCCGAGACTACTTCCATAAATTTTAAACAGCTTAAGAGAAACAATCTCGACCGACTTCGAAGACGTCGGCCGCCCCAAGTATCATAAACAATATTTAGTGCGGCCGACGTCTTCGAAGTCGGCCGAGATTATTTCTTATATCATGAACAATACTTAGGGTAGCCGACGTCTTCGAAGTTCTTTCGAACCTCGGCCGACTTCAAAGACATCGGCCGCTCCAAGTATCACCAACAATTATTTAGTGCGGCCGACGTCTTCGAAGTTCTTTCAAACCCCGGCCGACTTCGAAGACGTCGGCCGCCCCCGAACATTTCCAATATCATAGAATACCAGAGTTAATGATACTCGGGGCGGCCGACGTCTTCGAAGTCGGCCGAGATTACTTCTTCTATAAATTGCAAGCAGGTTAAGAGAAACAATCTCGGCCGACTTTGAAAACGTCGACCGCTCCAAGTATCACCAACAATATTTAGTGCGGCCGGCGTCTTCGAAGTCGGCCGAGATTATTTCTTATATCATGAACAATACTTAGGGTAGCCGACGTCGTCGAAGTTCTTTCGAACCTCGTCCGACTTCAAAGACATCGGCCGCTCCAAGTATCACCAACAATTATTTAGTGCGGCCGACGTCTTCGAAGTTCTTTCAAACCCCGGCCGACTTCGAAGACGTCGGCCGCTTCAAGTATCACGAACATCAAGACTATGTGTTATTATTCGTCTTACTTTGTATTTATTGAACATCGGCTCTAAATAAGTCCAAAATCAGCAAGAAACATGAAACAAGCAGTCTACAAGTAGTACATTTAGAAACAAGGTATATTTTTAATTTGATACATAAGCTTTATTTAACACTATTATCCGCATAGAGTTACTTCAAGTCAGTTATTAAACTTAATCATCCTCAAGAAATCGAAACTCATCTTCAAGAAACATTTCTCCTAATTAAATCAACATTTGTTAAGACATAAAATAGCCTATTCGATTTAATCGAGTTTCTAACATTGCAGCGACAACAAAATATCTTATTGACAGTAAGTTTTTATTACGATTTAACACTGAAATTTACTTTAAAAGGAGTTCATGATGATTTGGTTCGTTTCCACTAAGAAAATATTACTTATAATTAATGAAGAAGTAAAAGAAAAGTACCATTAATAGTACTCACCTTCAAATTATTTAGAAAACTTTAAACAAACCACTTTTTAACAAAATTTTTGTACAAATTACGTTTAATTTAATATTTATTTAAAAAATTTTTAAATTGAAATTTGAAATATCCCACAAGCGCGCACTTTATTTTACCGCGCAATTAAGTAGGTTGCATACACAGACGACGAGACTTCGTCATAAACGATCGAGACGTTCATAACTTAACATAAATGACCCCTAACCTTGGAAAATACGTGCCAATTTTACCCAAACCCCCCGAAAATGAAGATAATCTTACTCCTTTAACCTTACAGGACGCTTTAATACTATTCGGTAATAAGTATTATTTGCATTATTTTATTATGCGTTTACATGTAACTAAGTGAATAAAAATTCTTTCTAGGAGATGAGGTAACAGCGCAACTAGCAGCAGCTGGGCCCGTTGGCGTCGCCGCAGCCGCTGCTATCGTCTCGGCGAAGAAACGGAAGCGGCCCCATTCATTTGAAACTAACCCATCGATTCGAAAGCGCCACCAGAATCGGCTCCTACGCAAACTTCGACAAACGATCGACGAATTCGCGACACGTGTTGGTCAGCAAGCGATCGTCTTGGTGGCAACTCCGGGGAAACCGAACACCAGCTATAAAGTATTCGGTGCGAAACCGCTTGAAGATGTCATCAAAAATCTCCGCTCCATGATAATGGAAGAATTGGAGAGTGCCCTCGCGCACCAAGCACCTCCCCCGGTTCAAGATGATCCCACACTCTTCGAATTGCCACCGTTGATCATCGATGGTATTCCGACTCCCGTTGAGAAGATGACACAAGCTCAATTGCGCGCTTTTATACCATTGATGTTAAAATATTCGACTGGAAGAGGAAAGCCGGGATGGGGAAGGGAATCTACGCGTCCACCGTGGTGGCCCAAAGAATTACCTTGGGCAAATGTTCGAATGGATGCTAGAAGTGAGGATGAGAAACAAAAGGTATTTATTTAATTTTTAAAATTGTTTTCTTTTAATATATATCATTTATGTTTTATAGATATCTTGGACTCACGCCCTTCGACAAATTGTTATTAATTGCTACAAATACCACGGACGTGAAGATTTACTGCCAGCGTTTACCGAAGAGGACGAGAAAGCAAATGCCGTAGCAACGGCAAACGCAAATGTCAGTACCTCAGTTGGGGTGCTAAAAATGCATACGAGCTCGATACCAACTCATAAGATACAGATCCAAGCTAATGGCTCACCTCAGATCATAGCCACATCGCCCGAGGTTATATCGGGCTCTTCCACGCAGGTCTGCCTTGACCCTGCCGGATATAGTTCCGATGTGGATGTTCGTAGTCCCATTACACACATATATTATCGATGTTGTCGTGTCCTACTAGGAGACTACCGACTGTATCAAAAAAAAAATTTCTCTACGCGGCGGTCGTCTTCTAATTCGTCCAATTTTTTTCTTAAATTAGTTTTGTTTTTCATTTTGACTTGCGATTATTTAAATTTTTTAGTTTCTTTGAGAATGTCTTTTTTTGGAAAAAAAAAAAAAATTTATTTACAGTAAATATAGAGTGTGTTAGCTTGGTTTTTATACTTTTGAGTTGTGCATATTAATGATTTATTTACTTTATCATTATTATTATTATTATAAAAAAAGAATTTTTAGATTAGTTTTTCTTTTTGGCAAAGAAATACTCTGAGATACTATTTAATTCCGAAATTTCTCCAATCTTAGACGATTCCCACCTTGCAGATAACGACGCAGTACCCGGCTGTGCTGCACACCATTACCAATCCGGATGGATCCGTAAGCATCGTTCAAGTCGATCCTAACAACCCGATCATTACGCTACCTGATGGTACAACAGCCCATGTGCAAGGTATGGCCACCATACAATCTTCACAAGGCGATGGCACGCCAGTGCACACAATTCAAACGATCAGTGAAGGAAGTGGCCAAGGAGAAGTCGTTGATTTAAATTCTGTTACGGAAGCAACACTTAATACTGAAGGACAAATTATTCTTACTGGTGAAGATGGACATGGTAAGAAACTTTCTTATTATACTTATTCTTACTATACACAGAGAGGGCCATTTGATATTGAAGCCTCAAAAATGGTTTTTATTGTTTTCAATTTTAGTGAGTGGAGTAATAACGGTACCGGTATCGGCATCGATGTATCAAACGATGGTGGCAAATATACAACATCTTCATACGGCTGGTGATGGAACGGTTTGTGTTACACCTGTAGTACAAGTACCGAAAGTTGAACCAAATAGCGGAGATAACATGGAAACGTTGACGGTAGCGCCGGCGGGTCTAACTACACATTCCATGATGATACAGGGTTCGGGTAACGACCCCCCGCAAGTATTACAGGTGCTGTCCTTAAAAGACGCAACTGTGTTGACCAAAGCAATGGCGAGCATCGCGGACGTAAAAACGGAAGAAACAATTATTAGTGACCAGTAGGAGGGTGTGTAGTCTCGCCAAATAAAAAAATTAATTAATTAACTTACCGCGCGTATACCACCTGAAAAAATACATACATGTAAATATACAAGTCGAAAACGAAATAATTAAAAAATACTAAGACAAGAGTCAAAGTGTTTATTCTTGTAATGAAACATTTTAAATAGTTAGAAATTGTTTTGTGCGTGCGCAGAAGATTCTCCAACTATTTCTAATCATTACTCGAATAACTAAAGAAAAAATTTAAGTTTTAAAAACAAAGTGTTTAAAAAAAATGAAAAAAAGTCTAGTTTTTTTATATACATGGGTCTAATAATGAACCGACTATACAAAACATATTTTACTACTTTTATTTTGTGTCAAGTTTTCGAAGGGTTTTGACAGATCATTTATCGACTTTATTATTTGTTTTGACTTTATTAATAGATTGTTAAAAAACTTTTGCGGGAGTATAGTTCTGCGTGATAAACTTTTTTTATTGGTCTAATGTTATTTACCAAAGTGTTTTATTTTCTTTCTTCGCTGAATATATACGAATATTTCTTGTTGGATCATTTTATTTTTTTGCCCAATCATTTTTATTTGTATTTGATTTTTGATATCAATAAATATCTCACAAAGGTTACATCTATTTCTGTATTATTGTTTAATAAAAAAATATACCAACATTATTATTAAATAAATGTGTTGTTTTTATGGTTAGTAGGACCTTCGTTATATGTATGAATCAATCGAAAATCAATAAATTTAATTAAATCAGTGCTTTAGAAATGGGGAACAAAATTCTCTTGTAGCATTTTCATGTACTTGAATTTTTTTAAGGTTATATAGTTAAAAAGATGTGATCGCCCATTATAAGATCGATTTTTGATGAACGATCACATATGTTAAATTTAATTTGGTGGTTTATGTATAATTAAAATAAAATTAAAAAATATCTGACAAAACCTGATATAGTTGTTTATTAATGGACTGTGTATATTATAAATATAAATATATAATTCTATATATAAATATGCCGTGTGTGTTGTAGCTCTATGAAAAAAAAAAATGAAAGTTCACTTGACTATTAATTATTATTATTAATTATTTTCACTTAAATTGTTAATTTCGTTGTGACGATTGATGAAACGTAAATTTTAAAAAATGGCTAGTCTGTGCCCGCGAATTTCTTTATTAATTATTCTGGGAGTGGCACTATGTTATTGTACATAATTTAAACTGGGAGATGATAGACATCCTAGGTGTACAAAGAGACAATAGAGGACTAGTGTAGTTTCTGTAAAACGAGTGTACATACAAACTTTTTTTTTATTTTGTTTTTTTTTTACACATTTTATTTTTTTTTAAATTTTATTTCACATCATTTCGTGCATATTTTTTTTGCAAGAGTCCTGTGCGGGTAGCGACGTTTTTCACAGCCGGTAATAACCGTTTTTTTGTGCCATTACTTACTTTAAATGTAAAAAGTCGATTTTAATTTTTTGTTTGTTTTACTATTTGTAAGATCGTCGGATGTGAGTAATTCAATTTTCATGTACTGTCGTGTAAAAAAATAACGATTCGTTGCAGGTTCATTTGTGCCAAAGGCATATTACGTTTGTTTTAGCAGCGATTACGTTGCTATAACAAATCTTTTATTATTTTTTTTTTGATGTTACGCTTATTCTATCCAACACAAAAATTTTTTTTTAAATTGTTACCTTTTATTTAATTGTTTAATAACATTTTAATTTAATTTTTTTTTATTTTACAGTTTCTGTACACAAACTTGTTTCATTCATGGCTAAGTAATTTGTAATTGACGTTTTTGCGTGTGGCGTACAGAGAAATTTGTTAAGATTACACCCCCCACCTTCCTAAAATGAAATAAAGTCTATCTCAATTCATTTTACAAATGGCTGTACAGTTACTGTAATTGTACGTTTCGGTATCGTAATTCTAAGAATGAAATATGCACAAACGTTGTGCGTGTGATACATGTGTCTCACGATTTCCGGTTATTATTAACAATCCACTTTTAACCGTAATACACATGTTTACGAACACCACCACTTTCGTTGCATGTTCATTGTTAAAGTTTCTACCATTCTGGTTGTTCGTAATTCAGCAAAATGTACATTTATCAATAAAAAAATTTTGGAATTTATTCTTTTAATCTTTTTTTACCTTCCTTTGTGTTCATATTTTTTAATTTTATGTTTTAAAAATGAAACGAAATTGTATATACACGAGATATATTAAATATAAATAGGACATAACATTTTTGTGTATAATAAATAAACAAAAAAAAGTTACACTTAATAAGAGTAGAGTGCGGCAAACGTGGTGAGTTTGCTTAATGATAATATAAATATACGGCATATAGAACAAGTTAAATACGAAAATACAGTTTGATTTTTTTATTAAGAGATTTTACATATAGTAAATATATATTCACGTGAAAAAGTAAAACGTATTGTACAGAGGTAGTGAGTTTTTGCGCGATTTCTCATTTTTTTATTTAAATCTTTTGATTATTATTAAAGGCACGTTAATTAATTAATCAATATCAAACGATCCCTAACGCTTACTCTAAAAATTAATAAAAAATAATAAATAGGATGAGTCAGTCTTTACACGTTCATCGTTCGGTTAATATCTAAATGTGCCGATAAGAGAATAAATAGTAGAGAGACTAGTTCAAATTTACTTAGATTAATATAATTACTAAACTAAAAAAAAACAAAAAGAGACATCTTGACCATGAGTATTGTAGTTTTCGACGAAATCAGTTAATAAATCAAATTTAAAGATTAAAAGTTTTTAAAAAGTGGATTAGGAACAATTCCGGTGGAAGAGATACATTCAGTCATGGACAAAAAAAATACTTATTGTCATCGATTTCTTCGTCGAGATTCCTAATATATATTTTTTCAACATCTTAAACCACGATAGGTGTTTCTTCATAATGATGATAATGATGATGTATATGTTCGTGTACATGATAATGTTCGTGCCTTTCCACGCTAGAACCCTGTGTAGGAGTTTCCGTCGGCGAAGCTCCATCCTTCGACGAAGCCGCATTATTTTTCTTTTTCTGCCCATCTTCATTAGTATAAAAATTCGATGAAAATTCGCGTTCTAACCACCTAACAACTTGAGCCATCGCCCGAGCTTGATCTTCTTGCCGATTACGATGTCTCAAATAATGCGGGGCGGACGTCGTCCCTAACACGATTTGCGGTATTTTTTTCGTGTGCTTCCGAAACGTCTTGTATTCAGATTCGGACAGTTTCGAACGTTTCTGGGGTTTATCGTTACCTTGATTCGAATTCGAACAAACGGCGGCGTGTTTGCGACAAACTTGTACTTTTCGAACCGGTACGCGTTTATTTGATACGCACATAACCGCATCGATTAATTTATCGTATTGTATGTTACTGTTTGTTAATTGCGTGGCGTTATGAAACGACGCTAAATCAACGTAGAAATGAGCCGGGTCCATAATATTTGCTAAATATTGAAGAGTTGGAACTGCTTTTTTTGGGTGACGTTTCGATTTTGATGTTGTTTTTAAATGGCGAGTATTTGTGTTTTGAGATTCAGTTGTTGTGTGATTTCTAAAAATTAAAATAAATATTAATTAAGTTTTAATGTATTAAAGGATGAATAAAGTGCTCATAGCAGAGTAACTAAAATATAACCAGAAAGAAATATTTATCAAGGAACAAAATAGATGGAAGAAGTAGCATCATATGAGTACTTGGGCAGTATAATATAACAAGATGGAAGGATAGATTTAGACATAAATGCAAGAATAAGGAAAACAAACAACATATATCATACTCTAAACAGAACAATTTTTGGGAAGAAGGAGATAGATAAAATTGAAAGTGTTAGGATCAGTAAAAATAGATAATTGACTATATGCTGAGGACATAGTGTGATAGCAGAGAACCATAAAAAGGCAAGGAAAGATCTGAAAGAAGTATTTATTAAGGAACAAAAGATAGAAGTATCACCATATGAGTACTTGGGTAGTATAATATCACAAGATGGAAGTATAGAAGGCGTATATCATACTCTAAAGAGAACAATTTTTGGAAAGAAGTACAACAAGGTGGCAGTCTCAATATCAACATATGCCAGTGAATCATGGATACTCCAAGATAAATAAGAAGGAAAGACTTAGTGCTCATCACAGAGAATTAGAAAATAACCAGAAAGAAATATTTATCAAGGAACAAAATTGATGGAAGAAGTATCATCATATGAGTACTTGGGCAGTATAATATCACAAGATAGAAGGATAGATTTAGACATAAATGCAAGGATAAGGAAAACAAACAACATATATCATATTCTAAACAGAACAATTTTTGGGAAGAAGGAGGTAGATAAAAAGATAAAATTGAAAGTGTTAGGATCAGTAAAAATAGATAATTGACTATATGCTGAGGGCATAGTGTGATAGCAGAGAACCATAAAAAGGCAAGGAAAGATCTGAAAGAAGTATTTATTAAGGAACAAAAGATAGAAGTATCATCATATGAGTACTTGGGTAGTATAATATCACAAGATGGAAGTATAGAAGGCGTATATCATACTCTAAAGAGAACAATTTTTAGGAAAGAGTACAACAAGGTGGCAGTCTCAATATCAAGATATTCCAGTGAATCATGGATACTCCAAGATAAATAAGAAGGAAAGATCACAGTAATGGAGATGAAATTTTTATGGAAAATAGTGGGGTAGGATAAGACTGGGAGTAGATTAATAGGAGATAATCAACAAAATAGAGAGAAATCCACATAATTAGAAATGGAACACAACACAATAATAAAAAAGATATTTGAAGCAAAGAATAAAGATAAGAAAAAGAAGAGAGGGAACACTCTAGCAGATATAAAAGAATTAGGTATCAGGCATGAGGATCAGGAGAAGATGATATACTAACCGTGTAGTTCCTTCTTCTAAATTATTTTTATTCATGTTAGCTTGGATGATTTCGAGTAATTCCTTTCGTTGTAATGAGCTTGATCTTAATTTTTGTTTGTTGTCATTTTTTTCGATGTTTTCGGAAATTTCCTTTTTCCCATCGACTTTTTTGGACCCCTTTTTTCCTTCCTTAGTGTTATTCCTGCCACATGTGTATTGATATTCGGAGCAATCGCGGTCTTCCTCGCTGGTGTTATCCCCGGTTGCGCTAAATTCGGAGGCGTCGTCAGATACATTAACAGATTCTGTTTGTTCTTTCGCTTGGCGGTTGGCGAGAATTTCGCAGCAACGGTGACGCCGGCAAGTTCGCTTTTTTAGGCCGGAAGTGCGGGTTCGGTGGTGGTTTTTTTTAACATTGCAAGATTTTTCGGGTTGTAACGGTTTCGGTGGTTCTTCTGGGATTATTATTTCCGGTTTTATTGCGTCATCGTCCGGTTTTGGACAGTTTACGAGTGTTGCGCTTACGTGTTTGCGCTGATCTGGAGATACTGTTAGTTTCACCCTAATTGTTTTGCTTCCATAGTGGGGTACTTTTACTGAAGAACCTAACGCTTCGTATATTGTTGTTACTAATCCGGCAATGTCCTATAATTAAAAAATTAATTTATAAAGAAATAATTATAAAGGATGAAATTTTTGTTTTACATCTTTGGTAATCTTGCCATATCCATCAAAATCGTAGAGGGTGAATGAAAATTCTTGTCTTTGTTGTCCGGATTTGTCGATGCCGTCTTCGAGGGAAACGTCGCAAGAAAACTGTTCGAAGTTGAGTTTTCTGTTGGTTTGACGTGGACAAGAGGGGCATCGATACGGACTAGATGTGCCCGGGGATGGTTCGGGTTTGTTATCGCACGGGGGTGTAGTACAGGAGACTCTTAATTGGTCGTCGATGTCGCTATCGTGGCGTACGGCCCCAAGGAGCTCCTCCGTGTCGGAAACTTTCCCATAACTAGCATCTAAATAGACAAAGAATCGAATTTATATATATGATATATAACGCACACATTTGTTTAATTTTAGAACTCCAACTCACCTGCGAACTGTTTGTAGCTGTTTAAAAACTTATTTTTCCACCATTTCACGAAAATATTCGCCATCTCTTCTTGTGCTTCTTCTTCTTCTCCTCCGGCACAACAACGAACGCGGAACGTGTGCGTGTTATGATGATGTAGGGGGGCTGCTTAAGCGAACCGCCGAACGTAAACGTTGCCGCTCAGTAGCATTTTTCTTTTAATATTTTTTTTTTTGTAAAGGTCGATCTCAAACTAATTAGGCCTTACTGTGGGGGCCCCCACGACTTTAGATTTCGTACACGCTCCCAAGAACCGACCCGACGCGCATCTTACGGACAAATAACCAGGTGCAACAACTACGACTCTAGAGATGGGTGCGAGACGGCGCTTTCCTAAACGCGGTAACATCAAAGCACTTCTACCAAACAGGGCCGTAACATCACATTTTCTTAATAAAATTTTTTATTTTATTCGCCCAAAATAATCTTATTATATCCACTATTTATTATTTCTTTTTATGTACTTAAAAAAATTTATTTAAAATTTTTTATTAATTACAATATAATAAGATTTTATATATATTAAAAAACAAGTCAATGTAAACCATTTGACATTTATAAATTGTCAAATATGACATTGACAGTTTAATAACAAAAAAAAGTTTTTAAAAATACGGCCCTGAAGTTATAAAATTACCTGTTTCTTCCCAGAAGGGAGGTCGTAGATTTCAAAGTTTTTCTAGTAAAAACGGTCGAAGAAGAACCCCTTCGATTTTTATTTAAAATGGTTCCCCTTGTTTTAAATGAAATAAACGGTATAATTTAAAAGCGCATTTCCGTAGGATATTTTTTTTACATAGAAAGAGAGGCATAACGGTTTAATATCCCGTCGAGCCGGGCTTTGGCTCGCACGCATCTCTACACAGTTTAGCGTAAGCGGCCCCCTCACGTCCCCCGAAAACAAGTTATCAACAGGCTGCCGGCAGTTGCCCCGCCGCCGCGCCTCTCCGTTCCCCTCCCTTGGGGGCACTCTACGAATCCTCCCGTTGAAGGGCGACAAAATCAAAATCAAAACCAAAGAGGCGGTGGCGGTTTGAATTTTTGTAAAAGGGGGGCCCCGGCGGGGGCGGGAACGAAAAATCGGGAAAAAGCGGCGCGTGCGGCGCCCGTCTATTTTCCGAGGGCCGTTTCGGCAAAGATCAAAGGGTCGGCTTTCCGTTTGAACTCGCACAATTATGTACCGACCGGCCTTGTAACCGCGGTCCCCTTCTCCTAACACCTTCACTATCCCCGCGCTCCTCTTCTTTAGTACCTCTCTTTGTCTCCTCAATCAAGACCGCTACACACAACGAGTCAACTTTTAACGTTTTAAGTCTTCCGACATACATAACGGGTACTGCGCGAGTGCATGAAATTATTATAAGAATACCGATACAAAAATACGCTCGATGTATCAGATTCCATCTATAATATTTAAATGATAAACTTATTTATTACATAATATGCTCGCACAAAAACACTATATACAGGGAGTATTCAAAGAACATTCATAAACTTCAACAAATATTTCTTCGCCGACTTTCACGTGTTGTTTCAAAACCCACTACAAATTTTCGTTTCCAACACCATTGAATTATGAGGTTATTGTACTACAAAATTAATAGGACAAAAGTTTACATGCACATGTATTCAACTGCCTGGGTGCAATGTTTGATAAGATTTGCGGTATGCTTGGGGTCATTGTCTTGCTGGAATATCCAGCGATCCTCAAAGGCCAAGCTCAAATTTTGTTCTAAAATACTTTAATATTTATACGATCTATAATTCCACCAATGAATACCAATTTTCCTACGCTAGATGCTATTATAGCTGCCCAAACCATGACACTACCAAATTTACGTACCAAATTTTTCAACTCCATCGCCGTATTTCGTTTCCTCGAAATTTTTGCTCAACCATCACTTTCAAAAAGGTTGTACTTCGACTTGTCAGTAAACAAAACTCTGGACCAGAAATCCATTTCCTTGTCGACATGAGATTGAGCAAATTCTCGTCGAAGACGGCGATTTATTTCTGAAATCAGCGTTTTTTTGCCAACTCTTTGTACGATTCTTGGATGTACAGACTTATTAGATAGTCTGGACTGTTGCTCGGTTGAGATTTACTGAATTAAGAAAAAAGAAAATGCAATGCCAGCTACTTTATGCAACTCCTACTTGATTTCTTTAACTCAGGTGCATTGTATGTAGACTGTTGCCGTGTTAGTTTTGGCATTGTTTGTTGTATTTTTATTATGTTACTATTTAGCGGTTTGTTTTTGTTTTAAGTAAATATCTAATCACACTGTAAAACTAATTTTCTATTATCTTATTATGTTTTACAAAACCTCATAATTCAATGCTGTATGTAGGGTGGCTTGCGATCGCGGTGTTACAATCGAGATTATCAAACTTAATAAAAGTACAAATACAAACTAAATATTGTATCATCTTAATATCTTCAAGATATAATGAGCGCTTTGACTCTAGCGACTTTAGTTAAGCTTAGAATGGAGAATCATCAATTTTTCCATTCCAGACTGTTTGTGTGAAGCACCTTTAGAAGTATCAATATGGCTTCTTGGGAAGTACAACCTATACATGCGTGGCTGTAAAAACTGTTTCGACTATGATCAATATAAATCAAACTATAGTAGATATGAATCAAGAAACTGCTCTTTTGACCTAAAGAAATCATACATAAATTGGCAGATTGTGTGTATTTTCTTTATTAATAAGTATTTGTTAAGCAATTGACTTCATCCAGGGATGCTTGGCTGAAATTAGTCTAACTATTACTAACTATTTAAATTAATACAAATATAGAAATGAAAAGATTATATTGAATAAGTAATATAAATATATTTAAAAAGTAGAAATAATTTTATTAAATTTATGAATCTCTTCGTTTTTTTAATTTATTTCCACTTAAAACTTCTCCAGGTGAGGGATAAGGTCTTTGTTGATATAAAGCTCCACTTGCTGTCGAATCAGCTTTTGATTTGTTGTGTTCAAGTCCATCGCTCCAAGTCCCTCTAGGAATATCACTGTAAGCGGACGGATCCATAGGATCTAAGTCATCATTTCTTTTCCTCCACGGCCTTTCCCTGTCATCGTGTTTGTGTTTCCTATCCCGATCATCCCTCTCTCGCCTATCCCGATAATACCTATCGCGATCCTTCTTTCTATCCAAATCGCGATCGTTCTCCGAATTTTCAATTTCATCTTCTTTGTGCAACTTCATTCGGAGTTTTGCAGCACAGTCCGTTGGATTTGATTTGGGGTGTTTTGGCGGTAACCACGATACCATATCGGTTTCCATATTCCAATAGTAATATCGACCTAAACCTTTATCGAAAACATCTGTCCAATTACTCGGTAGTGGATATTTTTCGATTAAACGACGAGCACATCGAGCGTAGTGTGGATCCGGTGTTGGAATACCTTTCCAATGAACTTGACACCAATTTGTACATTGATGGTATTGATTGGATTTGTTGGGACATGTTATGAAACCTTTGTAATCATTATGAGTATCTTTTTCTAATGATGGGGTTTCTTAAAACAAAAAAATCGATCAATTATTATCTTAATTATAAATTTAAGCATTATTATGCAAAAAAGTTCATCTTACCATTAACCTACGCGAACTATTATCGAACTATCATCTACACGTTACAAATTATACACTAAGGTAATAAAAAAAGGTTAAGAACAGTAATTGAAAATAAACTAGAAGATGCACAAGCAGCATATAGAGTAAGTAAATAAGCGAAATGTCTAGAATAACTAATGGTACCACAAAATCTAACAAAAATAATTGAAAACCTGTACAAGAAAGTCAAGGGCGTAATTGATTTTGAAATTTGAAATGACCAAGGGAATAAAACAAGGCGATAACCTAAGCCCCTTGCTATTTATAATATTAATAATAATAATAATAAGTTTATTGCCACATAGCTAATACAGGAGAAAAATAATATATATGTATACATAAATGAATTAATTCATAGTGTATGTTGACAAAAAGTCAAAAGACCCAACCAGCAATGTATGTAAAAAAAATCAATATGGCATTATTAAACAATTCAACATTTAAGCAAAATGAAGAAAAGAGCAAAGAGGAAAAAAAAAGAAGAAACACAACATGAGAGAATGTTGCGTATTTCCATGGGTAAACTATTTCAAAGCTGTATAGCCTGCACCGTGAAAGATCAATATCTTGGTGCGATGAATGGGAAATATGAGTAACGTATCAGAGTGTGCTCTAGTACGCAGACCACGAGACGACATAAATTGAAAGTTCGTGTACAAGTATACTGGGATCCGAGAAGATCACGATATTGCGTGACATTGTCGTACTTACCCAGGTCAAAAATAATTTTGTTACGAAGGGCAATTGCTAGGTCGGGATACACCGCATCAGCATAATCTATGTGGGGCAGTATTAATGAGTAACAAAGATTACAACGGACAGCAAGGGGGAGGAAACAACCAAGTTTACGCAAGGAATGAAAACAAAAATAGACCTTTCTACAGACAGACTGAATTTGACAACTTGACTTTGACAATTTTTGACCGTATTGGTGAAATGTAGAACATTGTCACCAAGTATCAGTTGCATATCATTGAAAGAGTAAAATTTTGCAAGTAACCGAATGCTAGAGCTTGCGTCTAAGCAATATTCAAACTCAGGCCAAAACATTTAGACCAGTGAAGTATCCTGGACAGATCATTATTAAGCCGCGCCATGGATACCGGCAGCTTATTCACAGTTGTTGATGTGTAGATTTGAAAATCATCCGCATATAAGTGATAGTTGAATAAAATGAATTTGGTAACAGTGTTTATAAAAATTGAAAAGAGTAATGGGCCCAATACAATTCCCTGAGGTACACCACTTTGAAATACAGAAGAAGATGAAGTGTCACACACGCAAAAGGAAGTAACGCACTCAGGTGCAAAGCCCATAGCAGACAGAGAAGACACCAATAAGCTATGATCCATAGCATCAAATGCAGCATCATAGCAACAAAACTAACAAGGTTATTCGTCGATCGTCACAGTTACGCTTAATATCATCAGTAACCTTAATGAGTGCCGATCTTGTACTGTGACCTGGTCGATATTGGCCGAAAATCACTTAGGCGAGTAGGGTACTTAACCTTAATATTAATGGACAGAGTGATAAAAAATACAAGAACAAGTTAATATCAAACGGTAATAGGATATAAAAGTTTGGAACCAGTAAAAATAGATAATTTAATATATGCTGATGACATAGTGCTGATAGCAGAGAACCATAAAAAGGCAAGGAAGTTGGTTGAAATACTTGGGTATATCACAAGATGGAAGTATATCATACTCTAAACAGAACAATTTTTAGGTATAAGTACAATGCGGTGTCAGTCTCAATATCAAGTGAATCATGGACACTTCAGGAAATAAAATGGAAATAAAATTTTTATGGAAAATAGTGGGGAAGACGAATTGGGATAGGATAAGGAATGAGGAAATAAGACTGGGAGTAAATCAAAAGCAGATAATCAGCAAAATAGAGAGAAAGCAACTAAACTGGTACTCCCACATAATTAGAATGGAACATAACACAATAATAAAAAAGGTATTTGAAGAAAAAAAAGTATTTAGAGAAACGATTTATCCGACGCGCACAGGCATTCTGATCTATTTTAGTATTAAAATAAATTAAGATTTATAATTACCTAGTATGAGTCCTCTTTTTGATAATTTCGCTTGTAAAGCAGCTGGTAGAGGCATTTTGTTTATTTTGGTTAGGTTAGGTTAAAATTTGACACACTCATGGTGACCAACCTTTAAAATAAAACATTTTTATGTTTTGTATTTATTTATTACATTTCAAAGTAGCGATATAATAATAAATTGGCTCAAATGATTTGAATTAATATCTTCACGACGTAATTTTTGTACTATTGTTGATTTTTAGATGTTGAATTTTTATTAGCTTCTGTTAAAATGGCTTGTTCGAGTTCTTGTAGAAGTTCTTTTTTAACTGCGTCAGGTACCATACCTCGAGCAACGGGTGTTATTTCGGAAGATAACTTATCCATTGTTTGGGGTGTAGTGCCTTCACACAAATTTTTGCGACAAGCCATTCTAACCTGATCTCTCCATCCACAATCAACTAACCGAGCCTCAACGAGCTCGGCTACTTGTGATAATATATCACGATTTTCTAAGTACATGTACACTTTTTCTTCATTTGGGGTATATGCCATTATTAAAATTAATATAAACGTCGTCCTTAAAGCTTGTATATCTGCATCTTGAATCGATAAATACTAAAACAAAGAATGTGTTAAATTAGTTACGTCTTAAATTTCTTGATAGGTTAACTTTTTGAGAGTAAGCGCATGCGTGTTGTGGTATAGAGCCCAAAAATAGTGTGAATTTACCGTTACAAATCCTTTGATTCCCGATATCTTGGTAATCGTTTAATGAAAATAATCATTTTTTTTTAAATTGATTTACTTTTAAGACACCTGTATAATCCGAGGAGGATATAGGGAAAACAAAGGTTATGTTGGTAATAATATAATGGTGCCAATGGTGGCCTACTTCATTTCATTGTAGGTCATTATTATTTGTTATGTTTTTTTTTTGAAAATCTGTATAGTGTGTTGCGAATGGATAGCGAATCCGAGGAAAAGAGACTTTCCATTTTAACATGAGAGGAAAACGTTGGAGATACGGTGTTAAAATAATGTCAACAAATGGCTTCTAATACATGCAGGTATTAAATCAATATTTACATTGACACACCCGCGGCATGTTAAAAATTCGTTGTAGAGTGGAATGGGTCGAAATAATCGAGCCCCGTACGGGGGAGCATATGTACGCAAATTTGGCAACTGGAGAATGCGTATGGGATCCCCCAGAAGGTGTCCCGGTGAAGCGAACAGACTCCAACCAGTGGTGGGAACTATTCGATACGAACACGGCTAGATTTTATTATTACAATGCAAGTTCTCGACGTACCGTTTGGCACAAACCTACCAATTGTGATATCATTCCTCTCGCCAAGTTACAAACCCTTAAACATAATACAGACTATTCCCCTGCTGCGACCAGTCACCAAAGTACCCAAACAGGCGAAACCGTAAGCAGGGGCCAAGTGTTAAGCTTATCAGCCAGTACACCACAATTAAGAAGAAAATCGACGGATTTATGTAGAAGTAGTAGCTTTAGTCAACGTGTACCAGAAGCCCCTTTATATTCAAACTGGCACGATACAAATTTATTGCCATTAGAACACTTCTTATTAAAAAATAGTAGAGATACCGACAGTGAACATTCGGATTCAGGTAGTGGATCTTTAACCGGTCATGAACCTGACAATGAAGATTCAGATCAATCCGATGATTTGCCTCGAAATGCGCGTAATCCCGAGTACCTTAATCTTCCAACCTCCGTTCCTGAACCCCCCAGAGAACGAGCACCCGCTCCTCTGCTCAAACCGCTTGCCGAACCTCCCTTACAACCCGAACGAGAGGCTGACATGGAAAAATTTGCCGCCGACAATTTAAATCTAGGCGGACGAGGTTTGTTTAGAAGAAAAGCTAGTGTACGAGACTTACTCAGTTGGTCAAATAGAGGTTTATCACGTCCATTACTAGCTTCTAGTAAATCTGTAGCTCGACAAGCATTGGAAATATTCCGTCAAGTACAAATGTACATGGGCGACCGGAAATCTCGACCGGACGTCACCAAAAACTGTCTACTTATGGAAATATTAAACGCAGCTTACGCCAAACCTTTACTTAGAGACGAATTATTCGTCCAACTTTGTCGACAAACCACCGAGAATCACTCGAAGGAATCATTGCTTCAAGGTTGGGAATTACTTACAATCGCTTTAGCCTTTGTACCACCCAGCCCTGAATTTCAACCCGCTTTACTTGGATATTTAAATCGACATAGAGATCCTACATTTGCCAGGGTCTTTCCAGAAGTTAGTAGGTGGCCTATACATGTACAGGTATATATAATTTTTTAAATATATTATGTTCAATAATATAAAATTTCTTTTCTTCTAGTATTTTATATTTACATTCAAAATATTTATACCTTTTTTACTTTTTTATTTGTCCATGTATGCTTTCATAGCATTTAATAATACCTAGTCTCTTCTGACTCATATTGGAAATTAAATGGCAGATGATCAAGCATGAACAGTTCGAAGACGTCGGCCGCCCCAAGTGTGACAAACATCAAGATTATGTGAAAGCTGATTTGGAATCGTCGGCCGACATCTTCGAAGACTTCACCAGTATTATTCCAGATATTTTCTTGCTGTTTAGAATTTGGACAGATTCTTATTCGTTTGAGATAGAAACCAACCTCGGCCGACTTCGAAGACGTCGGCCGTCCCAAGTGTCACAAAGATCATATTACGCGAAAGCTCATTTGGAATCGTCGGCCGACGTCTTCGAAGACGGCCGTGGTTATTTCTCCGTTAGGTCCATATGGCGTAAACTCGGTTTTACGAGGCCAAGAATCCATCAGGTTTTGACATAGCCTTAGTTTTCGTTGTACGCAGGGTCGGCCGACGTCTTCGAAGACGGCCGTGTCAGTACAAAAATGTTTGTAGTTAGAACTTTACCAGTATTATTGCAGATATTTTCATTCTGTTTAGAGTTTGGACAGATTCTTCTTCGTTTGAGATAGAAACCAACCTCGGTCGACTTCGAAGACGTCGGCCGCCCCAAGTGTGACAAACATCAAGATTATGTGAAAGCTGATTTGGAATCGTCGGCCGACATCTTCGAAGACTTCACCAGTATTATTCCAGATATTTTCTTGCTGTTTAGAATTTGGACAGATTCTTATTCGTTTGAGATAGAAACCAACCTCGGCCGACTTCGAAGACGTCGGCCGCCCCAAGTGTCACAAAGATCATATTGCGCGAAAGCTGATTTGGAATCGTCGGCCGACGTCTTCGAAGACGGCCGTGGTTATTTCTCCGTTAGGTCCATATGGCGTAAACTCGGTTTTACGAGGCCAAGAATCCATCAGGTTTTGACATAGCCTTAGTTTTCGTTGTACGCAGGGTCGGCCGACGTCTTCGAAGACGGCCGTGTCAGTACAAAAATGTTTGTAGTTAGAACTTTACCAGTATTATTGCAGATATTTTCATTCTGTTTAGAGTTTGGACAGATTCTTCTTCGTTTGAGATAGAAACCAACCTCGGTCGACTTCGAAGACGTCGGCCGCTCCAAGTGTCACAAACATCAAGATTACGTGAAAGCTGATTTGGAAACGTCGGCCGACGTCTTCGAAGACGGCCGTGGTTATTTCTCCGTTAGGTCCATATGGCGTAAACTCGGTTTTACGAGGTCAAGAATCCATCAGGTTTTCACATAGTCTTAGTTTTCGTTGTACTCAGGGTCGGCCGACGTCTTCGAAGACGGCCGTGTCAGTGCAAAAATGTTTGTAGTTTGAACTTTACCAGTATTATTCCAGATATTTTCATTCTGTTTAGAATTTGGACAGATTCTTATTCGTTTGAGATAGAAACCAACCTCGGCCGACTTCGTAGACGTCGGCCGCCCCAAGTGTCACAAAGATCATATTACGTGAAAGCTCATTTGGAATCGTCGGCCGACGTCTTCGAAGACGGCCGTGGTTATTTCACCATTAGGTCCATATGGCGTAAACTCGGTTTTACGAGGCCAAGAATTGATCAGGTTTTGACATAGCCTTAGTTTTCGTTGTACTCAGGGTCGGCCGACGTCTTCGAAGACGGCCGTGTCAGTACAAAAATGTTTATAGTTAGAACTTTACCAGTATTATTCCAGATATTTACATTCTGTTTAGAGTTTGGGCAGATTCTTCTTCGTTTGAGATAGAAACCAACCTCGGTCGACTTCGAAGACGTCGGCCGCCCCAAGTGCCACATACATCAAGATTACGTGAAAGCTGATTTGGAATCGTCGGCCGACGTCTTCGAAGACGGCCGTGGTTACTTCTCCGTTAGGTTTATATGATGTAGACTCGGTTTTACGAGGCCAAGAATCCATCAGGTTACTGATTCACGCTCAGCCGTTTCAGAACAAAAGTGAACTTTGCCAGTATTATTCCAGATATTTTCTTGCTGTTTAGAATTTGGACAAATTCTTCTTCGTTTGAGATAAAAAGTAACCTAGGCCGACGTATCATCAAGACTACATGAAAACTGATTTGGAATCGAAAAAGAATTTCTGACTTGGTTGGGTTGGGATTTTCATCATTATACTTGTATAACTTCCTTTTAGTAAAAAATTTTATTTTATTGAACATAATATTAATTTGATGTATTAATATTTTTATAAATAAATATATATATTTTTTTATTAAAGGTCAATCATTACGCTACAGTTGCTTGCCAAAGATTAGAACGTATAGGAACGGGTGGTAAACGGACCGCTCGTCGACCAGTGATAGACGACATCGAGTCGGCACGAACCCAAATATTTCAAGCGAGCTTATTCGGAAATACATTACGCGAAGTAATGCAACTTCAAGTAACCCGTTGGCCGAACCGGAAATTGCCTTGGCCGCAAGTTGAACTTTCGCAACAAGTACTTCGATTGCAAGGTTTAAGTACAGAAGGAATCTTTCGAGTTTCCGCGGACGTAGACGAAGTAGCCCGTCTGAAAGCGCAGATGGACCGTTGGGAATTATCCGAGCCTAGCGACGCTCACGTTCCAGCTAATCTGTTAAAATTATGGTTGCGCGAACTTTACGAGCCATTAATTCCTGACTCATTGTACCCAGAATGTATAGCAGAGCCAATGACGCCACGAAGAGCTTGTGATTTGGTGCTGCGATTACCAACACTACATCGTTTGGTTCTCTGCTATTTAATACGATTCTTGCAGACTTTTAATCAACCGGAGGTCGTTCAACATACCAAAATGGACGCATCGAATTTAGCGATGGTGTTTGCGCCAAATTGTTTAAGATGTACGGCAACTGATCCGCGTACAATGTTCGATAACGCTCGAAAGGAAATGGCTTTTATGCGATGTTTAATTCAAGAGCTGGACACCGAGTGTGTACGCGAAATGATATGATATCCATCCCAATCCCTCCTTCAACAATATCATTTCCATTTTTCTTTTTGCCATATTTAGATATTGAGAGAGACAGACAGGTTCCGTTTCTGTTTTTAAAAGCAGCTTGATCGCCTAAGTTGTATTTCGAGTACCTACTTTTAATATATTGAACCTAACCCGAAACACCTTGTATATCAAAACATGTATATTAAATAAAAATGTTTCGTCTTTTATTTACCTTATAGATTCTTTTTTTTATTTTCTTTTTTTGTACCAATGAGACAAATAATAAAAATAAACTAGGCAATCAAATGTATGCATATCGATCGTAGCAAGTGTTTTCAAATAAATAGAACTATCTATCGAAAAATATATCTTTATTATAAACACCTTGCAAACATCATAAAGATTCTTGATATATTTTTACTTATAACTTTGAAGCTAACCTAAAATGGTATATTTTTCCCGCCAATTCTAAAACGATCACGATGTTGACGCGATCGCGTGTTCCTCCAGAAGAAAAAGAACGAATTCAAAGAGAAAAGGTGAATATAATTAAATTAAAGTATTAATAAATAAAACTTCTCTTTAAGGAAGAAGCTTTAAAGAAAAAAAATGAGCTTCATACACGCCCATTTGTTGAATATAACGGAAAAGTTATTTATCAAACTACGTTTATAGACGTTGCGATGAGCTGTGATGCGATTCTTGATAAAGTTAAAGCAACGAAAAATATATTTCCATTAGGATTTGATTTGGAATGGCCTTTTTCGTTTCAAACTGGTTCAGGAAAAGTTGCAGTTATTCAAATTAGTCCATCTCTTGAAGAATGCTATGTTTTTCATGTTAGCCAAATTCTAAAATTGCCTAAATCTTTATTGGAATTATTGGTTGTTGATAACGTTCGATTAGTTGGTGTTAATATTAAAAACGATATTCGAAAATTATCACGCGATTTTGGTGGATTTGATGACGACGAAGCTGTAAAGCGGTGTATTGATGCTGGGCGACAAGCTAACGAATTATTAGGATCGACTAGAAGATGGAGCATGGAAAAATTAGTCGGCGAATTCGTTAGAAAATAAATTAATAATAAAATTTTTTTTAATACATTTCTTTTCAGCTTAATTTAAGGATAAATAAAGACAAAAAGGTGCGAAATAGTCAATGGCATGTTATTCCTTTATCTAAAGAACAACAAATTTATGCAGCAACTGATGCTTATGTAAGAAAAATGAAATATTGTTATTTTAGGTACAAATTAAAACATTTCAGGCTTCTTTGCGGCTTTATCACAAACTTGAAATGCTCCAAGAAATAGCTAACAAAGAAAATAATCAAGAAAATTAATTTTTATTAAATAAAGAATACAATTATTATTATTTTAATGCTGCTTAATTAATCTTCCCAATCATCATCAGTAGTTCCACTTTCAGATTGTTCAGACTTAACCGGCGGTGGTGGTAACATAGCAGAAATCCTATCCATAGCCGAACCCGGTTCGATTCCATTCGCTTTCTCCGCCCCCGAAATTCCTTTTCGTCGCATTAACAATTTCGAGTGCAAATCCGCCATTAAATCACCTCCACTCGGCTTCTTTTTCACTTCGTCTTCATTTTTCCTCGGCTCAGTCGCTTTCAACTTCTTCATTCCTCCCGCTTTTCTAATCGCGTCCATTAAAGTTGCATGCATATCTGGTATAACGGGCTTTGAGGGAGTTTCAATAATCGGAAGTTCATTAATTAATGATGACTCTAATGCTGTTTCTAAAGATGTTTCTAAAGATGTTGGTGTAGGCTCAGTTTCTTTTGGTGTGGATTCAATCGGTTTTGATTCAATTTGCGAAATAATTTTTGGTTCAATTTTTGTTTCAATCTTTGGTTCAAGTTTTGAATTAGTGGGTGGGTCGATTTGGATGTTGGGTTGTATTTGTTCCGATTTGTTTGGTGTTGTGATGATTTCGGGTAATTCTGGAATGTTGGGTGAGGTGATGACTGAGGGTGCAATTGTTCTGTCTGAATTGTCGGTGTATCGTAAATCATCCGCGATTCCTGGTAAGTCGGGTAAATCGATTGGGACGTCGATTGTGGGTACATCCCCTAAATGTGGGCTGTAGAAGTAATTTTCTCCTGTGTGTTTATTTACGGTGGTTGGCTCTGATATGGATAGAGGCGCGGCGCCAATTTCTGGGCCATCGCTTACTACTTCCTTTTTAGTTCTTTGCAGGATTTTGAGGGCGTCTGCTATGATGTATTTGTTGTATAAATTGGTGCCTGAATTATACAATAACACGTCGTTAACGTTTTCTATGTTGTTTTTGGGGATTTCTCCTAAACCCTCATAGTTGGGTTTTTGGTTGTCAACGAAATTTAAATGATAAAATTGTAGCGTTTCGAGGGGGTCATCTTTTACAGGCTCATCTTTATACTTTAAAGGAAATGTTTGTTTTGTTGGAATGTTTTCGTTATCGAACAAGGTCTTATAGGGCTGGTTTAAATCAGCAGCTGGGTACTTACTGCTTGAAAACACCTGAATGGCTTTTTTAGCGCCCGAAAGCTTTGATATTTTCAAGTTGACTTTGTCAATTCTTCCATTTAATTGATTTAAATGCTCAGCATCTTTCTCTATCCTAGAAGAGATTCTTTTAAATATATCATTTGAGACGTCGGATAAATAATTTAAAGATTCCGCGATTTGAATTATCGTTTCTTCTTTTCTTAAGTTCAACGGAATAACAGGAACGTTGTAGACAGACATTTTTGTATGTATGTATAAACTACATGTATTAAAAAATTAAGTTTTGACGTCACACAACATAACCCCACTTTTATCTGTCAACAAAAATGGATGTTACTTTTAGCTACGTTTTTGAGAATTATTATTTCGAGGAGAACATTAAAATCCCCATCAATGGAAATGTTTCAGAACTGGCTTATATACTTTTAAACAAATACGAATTACCAGATTACGCCTCAAAAGATTTAATCGCGGTGTTAACCCAATTCATTGACGAAAACACGGAAGAAGAATACAACAAATCCACGAATGAGTTATTAAAAAAATGCAAAGAAAATAAATTTGATGTGGAAGAACTCGCTAAAGAATGGGAAAAGCAAATGAGAGAGGTATAATAATAATAATAATAATAATGCCTTTTTATTAATTGAAATCATTACATTATCTATAACTTAATAATGAAAGGATAAGTATACAGGGCGTAGTTAAGGTCCTTCTCTTCCACTCTTTTAATATATAATTAACACTTTTAACCCACCCCATTAAATTTTATTTTTTAATAAGGAAATGGCTGATCATGGTGAAAGAAAATGCGCTTCAGATGAAGAATTATTCGCAACCGCCTACCACAAAATGGTACATTCCCCAGCATTAGAAACAATGCTCAAATGGGAACACGTTTATGCCCAAACTGTCAGAGAAAAATGTTACGAAAGAGATCGATTAATAAGAATGTTATCTGATGAGTAATGTGCCTTATTTATTAATTTATTTACACTTACTTTTCTTATTAGACAAGGTGATGAAATGTCAGCAGCAGAAAAGCGTTTAGAAAAAGGTGTAACAGAATCCGATATTAATGCATTAATTGGGAAACACTTCGATGACCAAACTTTGCTTCAAGCTAAATTACACAGTGAAATAGACACCTTAAAAGAAGCTCAACGCAGGGAATACAGAGAATGGTTGATGCAAATGTTGGAACAAAGTCAAGCAAATAAATCTTTACCCACACCAAAAACGTCCCCTTTAGCACCAATCCCACCTTCCTTAATATTAGCCACTTCAACAATCTCTCGACAAAGCACAATTGAGAATCAAATCTTAGAAGAAAGTTTTACAATTCATTTAGGTTCTCAACTTAAGCAAATGCATAATATTCGTATTTTAAGAGCAAATGTTATGAGTTTATGTGATGTTGATGATGATTCGTAAGAAAAAAAATTTTTTTATTTCATATTAATAATAAAAAAAAAAATTTTTAGATCACCAACCCCTCAATGCCTTCAAACAGCACTAGGATTATATTCCAACGATTTAAGCGGTTTAGTTTTAATAACCGACGACGTTTTACCATCGAGGGTCACCGAGCAATTTCGAAAAATCTGTCAAAAAACAACCGAATTTCATTTTCAACACGTTGATGACCAACTTGAAATAATAAACAATTTACAAAAACAAAAATCGTTAAATTCGGCTTCATCGAATCGTAAATCAAGTAGAAATCTTCAATCGGGCGATTTTTATATCACAAGACATTCGAATTTATCACAAGTTCATGTTATTTTTCATATCGTTGCTGATGATAGTATTAGAGGGAACGATATAAACAGTAGACATCCCGTCGTTTTGGGATTAAGAAATATTGTAAAAACGGCTTGTTCAAACGATATAACATCATTAACGATCCCTTTATTATTAAGCTACGAAATGAGCGAAGATATGACGATTTCGTGGTGCGAAAAACGAGCTGAATTAATTTTCAAATGCGTTAAAGGGTTTATGATTGAAATGGCGTCTTGGGGAGGATCCGATTTAAAAAATTTACAGTTTATGTTACCCGAAGTATAAGATAAGAAGTATCAATAAATATTTTAATTAATTTTATTTATTTTTCAGGGAATATCAAGCGAAGTTTTTCAATCGCTCACCGATATGTTACCGAGGATCTTCAAAGTTTCAAATCCGCTAATTTTAGAATGTTCCAAAGAAAAAATATGATATTTATAATTACGAATTATTTTTAATTTAGAATTAAAAATTTACAGTATTGATTAAAATTTATTTCAATATTGTAATAAGCTTTATCGTTTCGTTTATAGATGGCGCTATAAGACTACTCCTAAAGAAATACTCCTATATTAATAAATAAGGAAGAGATAATTAAATATGAACCTCTATCCAATTAAAGCGTAGTATAGTTCAGTTATGATTTAATAATGCAAATCATTCAGTACCAGCATTAATCTAATATCGATCTCCTGATTATTAATGCACAATATAAATGCAAATAAGTGATTTATGGTAGATCCATTAATTCGATTAATACCTATGTATTCCGGAATCAATTCTTGATATTTCCTCTCTAAATCGGCCTTCTCATTTCTGAGGAATCGTGAATTTATGGTGAATGTGCAACATCCATAAAACAATATCCAGAGCTTTCATAAGTCGCACCTTCGTGTTCCTTGTTATTTTTCTGTGCACATTTTCGTCGGTATCGCGAGTGCTATACGTCGCCTTATTTTTGGCTCACAAGCTTGGATTTGTGAGGTGCTGTATTTGTTTCAACGAGATTTATTTTCATCTTCACAGCGCGGCTTTCATTAGTAATTAGTTGGATCATTTCTGCCAACTCGCATTACATATAATAAGTAAGAAAAAAGATCGGTGCTAAATTAAATGAGGATGTTATTGTGATAATTTACTAAAAACTAATGCAAAAACTATAACCTCTATTGATTGTGTCTCTTCCGTGACTCTTCGATGTCAAATAGAAGTTTGAAAAAAGGCGAGAGAGTTTATTTTGATAAAAGAGATTGGAGCGACTGTTGTTATTCTTGATGATAATCTAGTATCAATTGCGCCTGTGTGTTGAATACATAGATGTTATTTACGAGATTATTTTCGATCAATTAAAGCTGATGATACAATTATGCAATTAAGCTTGGTTCTTGAATTACAGGAAAATGTTATTTTATATAAACTATCCTCAGGGCTTCATCCTTGGATAAAGGTTCTAGAACATTGCTTGACGGTGTTCTTGACCAGAAAGTGTCTAACGAAACGCATCAGGATTTTGTGAATATACTTCTATTGGATTTGGAGATGATGGCAAGATATTAATTGTTATAAGGCTCCAGCGATGTGATCAGAAGTTTCTGAAAATTGGGTTTGCGGCATTGAGGAGCAGACAAAGGAGTGTTGAGGAGACAAGCTAGATCGTTCTGATTTGTGGTTTGTGGGTGTTGGCACAATGTGATTTCAGACCCAACCCAACCTTTTTTTTATTTTAACGAGGTTGGGGAAAAATCTGCAGACAGACACTCGACCTATGGTCGGCCGGATAATGTGGGAACGAGGTCTAGCCCTACTAAAAACCCATTTCCTCGTCTTCTATTTCTCTGAAACCGCTTGCGCATAATTTCGGAGACTCCGGCCCATGAGTGATAATTCCCATTAGCTGTTCTTTTTCTCCTCGTTCACTATTTCACATAAGTGGAAACAAAAATATTCCTTTTAACTTTTTAACTATCATTTTATCCTACATACCCAGCTCTTAGAGGCAATAAGACCTCTCACATTCTTCCATAATTCTATGTCTCTTGAGTTGCCCGGGCTGGGGTTACTTCCTCTTCTAGGTAGTTCCCTCTTCGCTCTCTTTCTCTCTTCTCTTCTCCTCTATTTCCTTCTCGATCATCACCATTCGCAAGAAACTTATTACCTCCTCTCTTTCTCCCTCATCTCCGGTCAGTAGTTCAACTACGGTGTCAATTCGTATTTTTCTTCCAATCTTTGCTTCCGTATCTTAACCCAACCCTCTTTTTGCATGTAGTAACTGATAACACAAAGTGTTTTGCGGATAGACAAAGAGAGAGGGTTATATGTGCCTTTCTTAATAATAATAAATTGTAGGTCTCTGCCTAGCAGTTGTAATGGCATAGATAATATTAGTAATAAAATGTGTCAATGTGGGTTTTAATATCAATCAAATAATTAATCATTCGAAATAACAAGAATTTATTTAAATTGCCTGAATTAAATGTACATTTACGATGCATACAGAAAAATAAATATTCAATATTTTTAAGGTTTGGCTTTGCATGTCGTATAATTTAATTGACCGGTCTAGACGGTATTTTGTTATAGGCAGCCACACCTGTATTACAGCGAGCTTTTCCCCTCAGTTATATTTTTCCCGAACAGACGTTCGAAATCGGTTTTTCTCGTTTTTCTTTTCGACGAAAGTCCGTTGAGAGCGTTTTAAGATACCTTATAATAAGAATAAATGGCACCGAAATAGTTTTATCTCGATTGAAAATAGGTGTACCTTCAAATATAGTTATTTTACGAGGCGTAAAAAACCCTCCCCTCTAAATTAAGACCGAACGTCCAGATGACAGAAAATGGGGAGCTTAAATCAAGACAAATGTTAATAATAGAATATATCTCGTATTAAAATAAATATTTTTTGCTTTGGTAATCGGATATTATTTTTTTATAACGAAAACAATTTTTTGACCCATTTGTTTTATCAAAGGTTTGGAGAATTTGATGATAGGAATTTTACGGGAACAAAATTTTTGTGGTGGGCTTTTACCCAACATTGCCAATATAGTAATGTTAGTGTAACAGAATCCTTAATCCACCGCTGCAACGATCCGAATACGAATTAATAATCTGGTTAATTAATAATTTAAACGGTTACAGTCTAGCCGATTCGTGATTAAATTAAAATTCTGTGAAGCGTTTATTAATGTTGAAATTGCGTATTATAGGTAATAAAATCGTTAACCATATGTAAATATTGATAGTAAATAGCTTTCTAGCAAGAAATCGATACTAATATGTTAAAACCCGTCCGAACGTTAAGCGATTATAATTTTCATGCTTTAATAATTGTCATTTCAACTTCGAAATGTTCAAATTAAGTTATATTGTAATATATTATTAATCGTCCTGTATTTTAACATAGAATTGTAGTTATTTATAGGTTATTCCTGTTCACAATGGAATATGTAATTATTGGAATTAACATTAAATTTACTAAAATGTTTTCAATTTGAACTTATTATTTTTGAGTTTGTAATCTTTTAATTCGCTGATAAATGATTTTTCTTTCCATATTTAGTGAAATAAATGTTGTTAGTTTTTTTTGGTATTTATTTTTTTGTGTTTATTTTTTTTGTAGAATCGACGTCGATGTGCGTCGAGATTTGAGAGATTCTGGAGGCCGAAGAGACGACGCTCAGTAACGTCAGTAACGTCGCAGCTGTCGTTCTAGCAGGACGTACTTCGGATAGAAAACCGGAGCGCGCACGTTATTTACGTTCGACTCGTGCGAACCGAATTTGTATCAAAAAAAAAGTATATTTTTTAATAAATATAGTTATGGGAATCCTGTTTTAAGTGACTTAAAGTGTGGACATGTTTCTATTACTTAAAATCTTGTTTTTTCTCGTAGTTTTAACTCTGAATATTTTTGCAGATAATTTGGGTAAGTTAGAAAAAATTAAATGGATTTCCTTCTTTTATGATATTGTAAATATTTTGATTGTAACTCGCGAAAAGCAAAATTATATCTTTACAAAATACGCCAGATTTTATCGTTCCTCGGTTATGTTTTTTGGCAAGCCGAGTTAAAACAAGTTCATTCATCAACACCTTTCAACAAATTTCGATTGTTTTATGATAATAAATAACGATTTGTGATGAAAACTTTATTATTCGAGGATTATCTGTAAAATGTTTCATTAAGATTAAAAAACTTTATACTGAAATGACCAACTAGAAAAGTTATTAAAAGTTCTAAGCCTCGTGGATAACTTTTTTTCTATTTTATAATGAAATTAGTAACAATAGTATTTTCAATTATAAATTTATATTCGGGATGTTTAATTTAATTTAATCGTTTAAAGCAACCGCGAATTAGTTTTAGACATATTTACCATGAATGCTTTGCTAAATACAGTTTTTGGCAAACATTTTTTCTGAGCCCGAAAACAAACATTAAATCCATCTCGTTTCCCAGTTTATGAAACTTTATGTTTTTTTTAAAGCAATTTCACTTTTAAGTAATTGAAATGGAACCCGAGAGGGACTTTTATGGCCGTATTTTTTAATACTATTTTTAGAATGTATGGGTGTGATATGTGGAAAGCAATTGGGTAAACAGAAACGGATTTGAACAATAAGATGTAGTTTCGAAACGTCAACACAAACAAGCATATTCAAGTTAGCGGTTGAGGGTCCGGCCGCTGGTTCAATTTTCTTATGCAAATTTCCTACGGAATACGTCCACAACGCGAACCATTCCAAAATGATCGCGAACGGTTCGTTTACGCGACCAAGCCTATAAAACGTGAAATATGAACGCCGGGATACAATCGTTAAACCGAGCTCTTAATTATTTGCCGGCGAATGGGGGTGAGATTAACATTTAATAGCCTTGCAAAAACGTGAGATACAACCTCAGAACCACAACATATGTTGCATCTAACTATTTCGCATCTTGTATTTAATTATTTATGGAAAGTTTTATTAATTTCTTTCCTTAATCATTAATATTATATATACACAGTGTTAATTAATTATCGTACCCGACGTCATGCAACCAATATCACATCAACCTCTCACATATTTCGAATACCAGAAAATACTACCTCATGATACTTGGGGCCGACTTCGGAGACGTCGACCGAGTATGATCACATCTTGCTTGAAACGGATTGAAAAAGCAATCTCCGCCACCGAATACAGTGTGTTAATTAATTATCGTACCCGACGTCATCATTGGAAGTATGCAACCAATATCACAAATCGCGTATTGCAATACCGATACGATGATGTTGGTTGCATACTTGCAATGATGATGTCGGGTAAGATAATTAATTAACACACTATATTTCGTATACCAGAAAATACCACCTCATGATACTTGGGCGGCCGACGTCTTCGAAGTCGGCCGAGTATGATTCTATCTTGTTTGACATGGATGGAAAAAGCAACCTCGGCCGACATCGAAGACGTCGGCTGCCCCGCATATTCCGAATACCAGAAAATACCATCTCATGATACTTGGGTTGGGTTAGATTTGGTTGGGAAAAAGCAACCTCGGTCGACATCGAAGACGTCGGCTGCCCCGCATATTTCGAATACTAGAGAATACCAGCTCATGGTACTTGGGTTGGGTTAGATTTGGTTGGGAAAAAGTAACCTCGGCCGACTTCGAAGACGTCGGCCGCCACCGAATATTCCGAATACCAGAAAATACCATCTCATAATACTTGGGGCGGCCGACGTCTCCGAAGTCGGCCGAGTATGATCCCATCTTGCTTGAAACGGATTGAAAAAGCAATCTCCGCCACCGAATACAGTGTGTTAATTAATTATCGTACCCGACGTCATCATTCGAAGTATGCAACCAATATCACAAATCGCGTATTGCAATACCGATACGATGATGTTGGTTGCATACTTGCAATGATGATGTCGGGTAAGATAATTAATTAACACACTGTATTTCGTATACCAGAAAACACCACCGCATGATACTTGAGCGGCCGACGTCTTCGAAGTCGGCCGAGTATGATTCTATCTTGTTTGACATGGATGGAAAAAGCAACCTCGGCCGACTTCGCAGACGTCGGCCGCTCTCACATATTTCGAATAGTAGAGAATACCAGTTCATGATACTTGGGTTGGGTTGGATTTGGTTGAGAACAAGCAACCTCGGCGCAAATCGCATATTGCAATACCAATACTGTGATATTGGTTGCATACTTGCAATGATGACGTTGGGTACGATAATTAATTAATACACTGTATTTCGTATACCAGAAAATACCACCTCATGAAACTTGGGGCGGCCGACGTCTTCGAAGTCGGTCGAGTATGATTCTACCTTCTTTGAAATGGATGGAAAAACACGTCGGATATTTTACATACCAGAATTGCAATACGTAAATCGCGTATTGTTGCATATATGGTTTAAGTTGGTGTGTAATGATGAGTATTTCCCTTAAAACAAGGAACGTTTACATCTGGTCCACAGGCCGATGGGTACGTACCCTAAAATTTATGCACCCCCGCGTGTGTTATGAAAATTATCCACAAAGTGCTCCCCCAAGTTTTGCCCTTCCTGTTCATTTTACGGGAATTCCGCGGGCGCCCGCCAAATCCCCGACGGGTCCCATGGGAATCATGAATTTTCCATAAGAATCCACCAATTGATCCGTCGCTGAGTTTACCCAAGTTCGTTTGCATCTTCCTATCGCATAATTTTAACAAACAACAATATGACTCTATTTTGTGATTCATTCAATTTGAACGTTTCAAACCGGGTGATTAAGATAAAATAATATAATAAAAAGAAAGAAATTGGAGTGTCCAAACAAATAGTGACAAATCATCTTTAGATACAATGAAAACACAATAAAAATGTTGTCAGCTATGTGAAATACGGCACCACATACATTCCACGGGTCGTTAATTTATTTTCTGTAAGCATACCTCGGCTTAAGCGTTTTCGAAGGGGGACGCGAAAGCGAAAATAGAAATAGAAGAGACCGTGCGATACGTAATTCTAGAATATGATTGATAGTTTTGTTTTGTCTTACCCCCTCGACCACGAGGGGAGGGGTTGGATAAACGAAAGAAAAGTGACGGTGAAATCTCACCGTAATCATTAATTTCTTTCTTCTCTGGTGGTCGCATTCTTTCTTACTGCTCCGTTTCGGCAAATTAAAAATTAATTCTCGTTTAACGCGTTCCGATTTTCCGACACCAAAAAAAAAGGGTGAAAATGAAAGTAAATTTCACCACGGTATAAGTGGCACCAATGACGTTGTGAATCGACCCCTGTATATCGCGTCTACACAATTACTGTCAATATTTCCCGATCAACGACTGTGAGTGACGTATAACCGAAATCGTTTTGGGTACACCTGACCCCAGATTTCCAGATTAACCTTATTTGTCATCAAATGAATTGACTCACTTTTAGCTTTTTACAAATTTCTTGTTGAATCCTTCTTTTTAATATGTAAAAATGGTTGTCTAGATGAATGGATTTTTGAAGCATGTTTGTTGAAGTTAGTTCCTTATTATAAACCCATTTACAGTTGAATCAAAAACTATTTTAAAAGTAATAAATCTATTTCTTTGTACTTATGTTTGTGTAGTTGAGAGAGTTGTAGAAGGAGGTCGAAGTAAGTGATTCTGAGATGTCATCCATTAGTTTGCGATAACATATGACTTGTCAGTATTAGAACTGGGCGATAAATCAAAATGCTGACAAATTCGTGATTTTTAACTTTTAAATAAGTCACCTCTTTTAGATTTTTAATATCTATCCGTGGCAGTACTCGCGACGCCGCCACTGCAGGATATTTAAATAGACGTTTGTATTGAATTTCAAATAACTTCCGCGATCGCCGTGCACGACCGGTTGTTTTCCTATTATTTTTATTTTTTGCCCTACAAAGCCATCTCACGTTATGCCCCTCGGGTTCAGTTCCAACCCTTCCACCTATTTTTGAATCAATAATAAAAACCTCTATGGTACTTACAGTAAGCGATCGACCGCAAATTAAGCCGTTAAAATAAACGTATATCAAGCACGTACCGCCATTCTCTTATTGATCTATTTCAGTGGCCGCGGGCAGCGAAAATGTTTATTTTTGAAAACGTGACGCAACAGCTATTGGCAGCATTAATTGTTTTACTCAGCTCAACTTTTCATACTTTTGATAGAATTGATTTAACCAAAATTTCATTATTTTTTTATTTTTACATTAATCTTTTTGACCCAAATTATTCATTAATATCAATTTTAGTTTATTTTAGTTTTTTGACAACAGTCTAGGCTTCTGCCAGAAATATCAAGTCTCCTACAAGCTTCTTCAAACATTATCTAGTCTTCTGCCAGTAGTAGCCTTCTGTTAGAAGTATCTAATCTTCTATAAACACCATCTACTCATCTGTCCGCAGTATCTAGCTTTCTGCGAACAGTGTTTAGTCCCCATACAAGCAGTCTATCTTCTAGTCCTCTGCAGCATCAAGTCTTTTATTAGCTCTTTTCTGTCTTCTTCTGCAAGCACTATCTAATGTTGTTCCTAGAGTCATATATCATATTGGACTTAACACCAATCATTATTTATTTACAAATGTCCAGTCCTTATGTATTATTAGAAGTTATTAATATATTTTTGGGTAAATTTGATATTGGTGAAGATGAATAATATTAAAGAGAACATATATCAACTGTTGCACGAATGTATTTTCCGTGATTTCTTTAGTTGTATAACAAAGAGTGGCCCCTTCCTCCCAACCATTGGAGTATACCGAGATTTATTATGCATTTAAATTGCAGAAATAACACTGAATTTAAGTCGGCGATTTAAAATGTAGTTAGACTGTCAGACGCAAAGTGACAGTGCATTTATCAAGCGGTGGAAAAAAGACAAAGCGATTTTCTCTCCGCGCAACCCGTTACAT